GTTGTACTTTCACCGTTCACCTGTTAATTCCTAAAAAAACAATAATATCAAATTGATAAAATTTGCGGACCAAAATATCATCTTCTACATTCCCTAATTCTGATGTGATGATTCATACTGTATTTCTTGCATGAGAAATATTAATTCCATCTTTCCGGACAACCAACATACTTTACTCCCTCAAATTAAAAAAAAATCAGTAAGAAGCAATAGACCCTGCCATGTTACAAAGAAAGATACAGAGGGTAATTTTTACCCTCATCCATTAAACTCCTATCATTGTATTAAATACACATATTTTTAATACCTTGAAAGCTATAAAGAACACTATTTAATATCATCAGAAAATGGATTATGCATCTAGACTAAACATTATTACCGGTATTGTTAACAATTGTTAATTTATATCAGATTTGTGAGACTGAGTCTGTGAGAGCATATATCAATAATACTATACTATGAGTCTATGTGTATATTTGGGTATGTGCAAATGTGTGTTGAAGAGATGGTGTGGGAGAGAGTAAAAGTGTATGTGTGTGTATTTACATGTGTGTGTGTGCGTGTGTGTGTGTACGTGAGTGCGTGCGTGAAAGGTGAAATGTCCAGGCAATATTTCAGTGTATGGAAAACAAAGATACATCATCTTACCTTATCATACCATATTATTATTTGCTTATAAATGTGCGATACCTTGAGATATCGGGTCAAGATGTGTGTCACATTCCTATAAATTCTATGTGAGCCAAACTCTCAAAACAGTAATTAGATTATAACAAATTCAAGAAACAGATACAGACACTTTACAGATTGCATTTACCAGCAAGGACATCTGAGATTAGCAAAAAGTTTTGTTTTGTGAAAAGAAACTTTTTTATGAATGTCTCACTACCTGAGTGTGCCTGTTTTTTTCCATTCAAGCATGTGGAACTATAATCATTTTAGGCTGCCTTCCACACTTTGTGTTCTATTTCCCTCCTGAAAATAAAAATCCACTAAAAAATTAAAGCTTGAGAGAAAAATACACCAGTATCACATTATCTGCTGGTCTGGTATCACTTACCTGCGTGCCTTTTGGGATGACATAACCGTCAATGTGAATGTCTTCGCGGGCATTGCGAAAGGAACTGAGAGGTATCTGGCTGACATATCTGAGGATGTTGACACACAGTTTGTCTTTTTCGTTTCTTTGTTTCTTTTATGTCTGTTGTTGTTGTTGTCATTACTTTTAGGGGGAGGGGAACGTAGTTTAACATATTATTGAAAACAAATAAACAAGCTTCATTGACAATCTGAAGTTTTGAGGCTCTATTTTCTAAACTGACCATATGTCTACAAACGGCCACGAGGGAGAACAAAAAATTTCAGAGCCAAAACTGAGGAAGAATGCATCCTGAGCCAACAAGACTGTTGTAAATTTAAACAGCTTTTTCTCTACCCATTCTGCCAGTCAACTTGTAAAATAGTTGCACCCCCCTTTTCTGGGAGTGGGGGGGGGGGGGGGGGGGGGAAAAAACTACATTTATCTCATCTATATCGGGCTACCACAAGATGAATGCCAGTGGGTGAATGCCTGTGTAAAAAGGAGAAGCAGTAGAAAGGCTGCAGAAAGAGACAGGAGCCCAGAGGAGCCCCCCCCCCCCAAAAAAAAAAACACAAAAAAAACAAACAAACAAAACAAACAAAACAAAACAAAAACAAAAACAAAAACAACAAACAAACACATACACAACGCTACACAAACCTACCTACCTGAGATTCTCAATAACGACGGCCTCTGTGTAGTGCATACTCAGCCGATCTTCCACGCGCGGTCTTCGATCCCCGATCACAGACTCGATCTCTTCCTGTACCCGATGTGCAATCTCTGGGTGGTGGATCAGGATCAGTATGATGTTCAGCAGACTGGATCGTGACGTCATATGAGCTGAGAAGAGACAGCGGTCACTTAATGAAATAAGCGAGTGTTAATTTGCCCTCATTGACTGAAACAAGCTTCTCCTAGGTCAGATGTAGGCCTATTCCCTCCCCCCCACTTTGATCAAAAAGCGATTAAAGTCAACAGAGCAAACATCTGTGAATGTAACGTCTGTCTCTGATAGGACCAGGCCAGGTTGACGGAGAGCCTTGAAAAATCTCGACACAGATTACGTTTGAGAATTCCCTCTTGAGGATTGGAACAAGGGCCATCCGGCCCATGGCCCAGCGAGTCACTATTATCTGGGTTAAAGGCACGCTTATGATGAGCTGGGGTGTAAACATAGATCACGGGTCAATCTACCAGTACTGGTCTTTTTTTTTTACTACTATTTCCTCTAACTTTGCTCTTTTATATTTTCAAATTCACTGCCCTTGATCCTCTCAGTGAGAATTCCCTTTGAAACACCAAATCGCCCCCGTTAGCTTGGGGAAATCATACCACTTGATTTTAGTCCAAGGAGAACAATAAACTCATCAAGACGAAAAATCATTCTCATTTTATGACTGAATCCGCTGGTCTTGTATTTTTCAAAGGTTTGTCTAGACATAAAACTGGATACATTGTGCTGAACAAGCACATTCATAGAATACTGGTTCTTAAAAATTGGACATTGCTATGAAGAGTTTATAAAGGTCTATTTACTTAAATCAGACGAAGTTTTGAAATGCGATAGTAATGTTGTCCCTTCAACGTCAATACAAAGAAACTTGTAGAGTAGGCTACTTTAAAGTCAGAGCTTACAAGCATCTTTTTAAAAAAACGTGGATCGCTATTCATGTTCGACCATGTTCAATACATATCTTCTATCAATATTTCATTACTTATGGTGGCTTATGGGTGCTATGCAACATGTATTTTTGCATCGTCCAAATGTAAAGTTGGCACCAGAACTTCCCCCGATGTGTCCTTTGTGTGACTAGATGCATAACTGTGGGTCTTCACCTTTTCCACTGTACAGGCCTAAATGACATCAGAACTAAACGTCTCCCTCCGAGATCTAACATTGACAACACATTCTATGGAACATTTATAGCAACTGCAGCAAACCTGCAATCATCACTACATGGCATAGCACAGAAGGGCGAAAGCCCAGCTGTTGCTGGATCGATAACAACAACAACAACAACAACAGCAACAACAACACAAAGGCCTACAATATCATGGGTATTATGCAATATATGATGGCTTAAAGTCAAAGGGAAGACCAAGAATCGACAGAATCAATGAAACCCTTCAAAGGTACAATTATGACGATCCCAAAAGCAATACACCTGGACCACGTCCATCAATTACCTCTCCCCTCGGCACCTTGCGGTATAAGAGGACAGAAAAAGTGAAGTGTAAGTATTCTTCAATAAATTAAAGTAAGCAGCTTTTGCGCATGGCATCGCGGTGACCCAAATGGGGCCACATGGGGAATGGAAACATCGGATGTACTTCGTGGGTTAAGTAATTCAGAATGGAAGGCCAAAGTATACTTTAATTCGTATAATTAGAGTATGATAATTACAGACAAAGGCTTGAGGGACATACTACCTTAAGGTCTTCAAACATAATTTTCTCAGCCTCTGCTTTACTCTCAAGGACGTCATCGCAAATTCTCTTGTACTTGCCAATCTTGCGAAGTGGTGGGAAAAACTTGAGGGCTGTGAGATTCTGTATGTCCATCATCCGGTTCAATGCATTATCATAACGCTCCATCGCATCAACAATATCACAGCTGAGCTTTTCAGGATCGATGTCACCATTGACCTAACGAGTAAGCAATTATCAAAGTAGTTATATATACACTTATTACGTTTCAATACTCTTTTCTGATTGTCAACAACTATCTCTGTAGCAGTAATGTTTCACTGCCCCTACCACCCCCACCCTTGAACTCAATACAATTTAGATCACTTAAGAGGCAGGCTGCCAATCATGGGCTTAACACTTAACCGGATACAGCAGCTGGGCCCTGGAAACACACTGTATACCGTAGAACACGGCTATAGCGGGACTTTTTATTCCAAAAGAAAAATCCCGCAGCAGGCGACTTCCCGCTATAGGAATGCGCAGGGGAAATCACCGAAAATTTTCTTTAAAATAGACATGATTACATCCCTTCCATATATATCAATAAAATGCGCGCTTTAGATTAAATTAGTATTCCTTTTCATGTCAACTTGATTAGGGGAAAATATTATTACGGAGCTGACGCTTCACGATTATCTTATCTCGGCCTTTCATTCAATTGAAACCCATTTCCTTTTGTCTTACTTGGAAGCCATTTTTTCCTCAGTCTTGTGGCTTGTGCTGTCTATCGCACCGTTAGCATCAACGATCCCAATTCAATGAATCAGGAATCACACACTACATGCTCTCCACTTCTTTTGCTTGTTGGCCTAGCCTAGGGCTAGGGCTATTACAGATCTACATCACATTTGAAGTGGTTCACGCAACACGTCATTCTGCACCATCTCTCTCTCTGCACCATTTCTCTTTAGGCCTATCGCCTGCCCCACCTCACTCATCCCTGAACCAGCCAATCACAACGCCGACTGTCTGTTTGGAGCAAGCCTACAACCCCCCCCCCCCCCCCCCCCCCGTAAAGCTAGAGCTCACTCGATCTCTCCAGCTGTATCCGAGTTCGGGACTTTCCTTGTCTCGCTAAATCCAAGCATAAGTAATTGAGTTTACATTGAGGAAGAAAAATGGGGATTCCGGTCAGGTCCCGCTGTAGGGATGGTCCTGCTATAGCAAGTGCCGCTATAGTCATGTTCTACTGCAGTAAATAGTGGATCTTAGGCCCCTACACCGTCAAATAGAGGAGTAAATTAAATTCCTGTGTGAGGAGATTCTTTAAAATTCTATAAAATATTTCCATCAGATTGCTGAGATGTTGTATCCAAGTCTCAGCCCGTGCTACCTTTGGTCAATGAAGACCACCTCCTGATAATCTAAACAGAGTCCACTTAAACCAAACAGATCTTCCGAAAACAGCCTTAAAAAACAAAAGGAAAGAAAATCCCAGATTTTATTTCCTTCAATTTGAGCAACCTCTCTAAACTGAAAACCCAATTAAACTGTAGAACCACAGATTTCGGTTTAATAAAAAGCAGACTCCACTGTAGTGTTGATCAGGGTGTAAAACACCGTATAATTCCTGTGAGTATAGTGCACCCATGTCGTACACGGCCGCATGCCGAACGGTAAATTTATAAGAGCTGTTCGGTCCCAGCCTAGGCCTTAGAAGGCCAAGGTCCCAGCCAATCCTTATCTGGGCTTACTAAAGACGGCTGACACCGAGTATACTCAGCTGCCCCCGACTTGATCCGTAAAATCAGACCGGTGTTTCTGACCTTTTTGTGCAAACCGCACGTTTCACGGCAGCACGGATGAAGGGGCAGAACCTAGACGGTCAGAGAGTAGTAAGAACGTATAGGGCAGAACTCTTTCCAGACTTTTTGCTGGAGTTACTTCCCGACTTTCCAACGTTGATGACGAAAAGCTAGGCCTAATTGCAGCAGTGAAAGCTCGCTAATTTATTTACACAAAGGGTGACAAGAACCACTCTAGGGAGAACATTGCACGAGAAGTTGGAAAACCGGCTGCTGTGTCGTCGTTAATAACGGCCCTGCCCTGTCCGCTACGAGAAAGCTTGTTGTTTCAAATTGTCTGACGGGTCATTCTACACATTCAATTTTTTTTAGTACCTTCAATTCTCCCTGGGTGCGATCTTTATTTGCCTCTTTTTACATTATTCCAGCTGGTCGTTTTTACCCGACACAGCACGTTTCACAGTACATCGCTAGCACATTCTTCATAAAAAAGCCTCTTAACATAAAGTAAGATGTCTATTTTTATAACATTTTCTCCACCACTATTTTACTCTGAACCCTCTACATTATTGGACCAGCACTGCAGTCATCTTTTTCCGCACTATAAAAGTCTCGATCCAACCGATCATCGACGTATTAAAATGGGTCCATCAGTTCGAAAATGTTGGAAGATCATTCATTTGCCACTGTGCCGAAACTGATGCGCTACAGGTTGTTCAGTAAATAAGAATTATGTATTGTACCCAGTTTTCAGGGGACGTAACTCAAGCAATTATCAATCAACTCAGAAAAGACAGCAGTTACATACCCTCAAATACCAGAGACCCAAAATAAGTCGGTTTACTGTAGATAAAAAATTACAATTCTTTAGGAAAGTCGAACCCGAGGAGTTTCAAAATATGGCAGTCGGTATTACGATGAAAATGAGTCTGGCAGCGAGTGAGTTAATTACTTGGACACTGGCGAGTCAGCAGATTGAAACTGCTCTCGAGCTGGACCTGACTCGTGGGGTGTAGTTTGCCTGGTTTACAAAGAACCATCAGTTACTTACCAGCACGTACAAAATGATCTTCAGAGATCTCGACAAAATCTGGGGCATGTGGATATCCAGGCCTGTAGCTCTAGCAGTGTCCATCTCCTCCAGAACACGGTCAAGCTCTTTACCAACGACACCTTCAAACTTGTCCACACCTTCCCCGTAGATTCCCATTATCTTGTGGAACAAAGTTCTCTTCTGTCTAGTCTGGGAATTATAAGGTGTGAAGAAAAGCTCCTTCCCGTTATACCATGCAAATTCGGAAACCACATTAGGCTCACGGTAAGATGTGAGCATTTTGTACTCATCCGAACCAACGAGTCTTCGCATAATATCTGCCGAATTTAGTATGCAAATGGGTTGACCAAATTGTAGAAAGTCATGTCTCCATATTTTTCGGCTCACCCCCAGGCTACCTCATACAAGGAGTCGTCACGGCCCGCTTGTAAGATCTCCATAAAACCCTTCCATCCCCGAGGCCCGGGTGGAGGGTTGCCTAATTTCCTGGTAAACTGTTTGGACAACATGTAAAGGACACACAGCACTGTAGCAGCAACAGCAAGAGTCCACAGAATAGATAGGCCGACATCCATTTTGCACAAAACGCTGCAGCACTAGACACTAGGCCTAGCAGCTGAGACAAGATAGGCATGTATAGCAATGGCCTATTTAACACTGTGTCGAAGAACGTCAGCTGTTCATCGATATTATGCTTCACTTGCTTGCAGAGCAAGGCGTATAGAACTAATGGAGCCTCTTCTCTCTCTAGTCTTCGCGGCGCCACGAGCAGTACGCCGCGGTGGGGATCAAATATGGCCGCCGAGTGTGGGCTAAATCTCGAACTGTGGCGTTTCTTTTTATAGAATCTTATCGGGCTGGGCCACGTTG